CTCATCTTTCTCCCGCGGAGCAGCTGGTAGTTTCGAACCGCTGACCTTAAGGTTCGCAGCCCGATTCGTAACCACTACGCTACCAGAGCGCCTTAAATTCACAATAAAAACTTAAAATAAAAAATTTTTAATTTAAATTTAAAAAATGTATGAGAATCCACATTTAATTCATCTTCCAGGTCCAGGTCCCTCTTCCATAAATGCTTAGCTGATAACTGCCATTGGTGGTCACTTCTCCATGCCTTTACTCTCACAGTTCTAGGTTTATATTTCTCTGCCTGCAAAGCAGTGTAGCCTTGAAAGTCTTACCTTCCCTCCTCTCCCACTATTTCCAAAAACTCAACCATGACTCTTAATTATTGTTACAACCCCTGTTGTTGTCAGAGCAAGATCTTTCTCTGTAAGTCACTGACCCTTTCTAGGTCTTGGTTTCCTTTCATGTAAATTGACCCAATGTGGCTATGAAGAATCAAAAGAGAAGAGTTGTAAAAAATTTAAGACCAAGTACTTTGCAACTCTGAATACTAAAGTCAGCTCTACACATTCACTTCTATGTATTTATCTATCTTTGCTCCTCCATCTTCATTCAGGACTCCTCTATCCTTCCTTCCAGTGATGAACTTTCTTCTCCATTCCACATTCTTACCCAGTGCCATCAAGCTGATAATGACTCACAGTCACCTTGTGCAGGGTTTCCAAGGCTGTGAATCTTTATGGAAGCAGCAAGAGTGGCTGGTGGGTTTAAACTGCCGACCTTGTGATTAGCAGTCCAGTGTTTTTACTACAGTGCCACCAGGGCTCCTGTAGTTGCACTATAGGATAAGACTGAACTGCTAGCCCCAACTTTAGTAGTTCAAACCCATTAGCTGCTTCATGGGAGAAAGATGAGGCTGTCTGTTCCTGTAAAGATTTATAACCTCTGAAACCCTATATAGAATCACTGTGAGTCAGAATCAACCCAATGGCAGCAGGCTGGATTTTTTGTTGTTGTGTTAAGCCTCTGTATGTTGTGTGCAGACACCTCTTCTTTGGCACAATTTAGCACTAAGGAGGGACCCACCAAGAAACTGACAAAACAACCAAAACTTTTGGTACACCTCCCCCATCCCAAAACATCCTTAGGTAAGGATGTAAGTGTTTTCTTACCCCAAGGCATCTACATCTAAAGCATGGCCTGACCAGGTGGCTTTTCCAAGGAAAGAGCATAATGGATTGCAAAGAACAAGATCAATAAATAAAAAATATACAACTAGCAATAAATAAAGGTGAGAGCATGCAAGAGGGGTCAGGGGTGCAAGGAAACTGACTCAGATTAGATACAGCTTTTTTCCCCCTCATGTTCTCACATTATAGCAATCAGGATTTAGAAGCTAAGGGCAGAGTGCCTTAGGACATCTGGCATGACATTCTTACCTACTTGAGATAGATTTATGCATGGAAGATGCAGAGAGAGGCAGAGAAGGATCAGGGGCCCTGCTTGCCTTGCTCACAGCCCTCAGTTACCTTTGCCAGCTTCCTGGCCCAAACAATATGAGACTGCCTTCAAGAAGTCCCTTGAGTTTATTTCAGCTCAGATGCTGACAGACTTCTGGGAATATAGAGATGCTCCACAGCTCCCTGCCTGGACATTTCCTTATTTGTAGGAGTATCCAAGGGATAGGAATGATCAAAACCTAAAGGGATCTGGAAGAACACTGTATTTTACAGAAGTAACTTAGAGTTAAGAAAGAGAATGACATGCCTCAAATTTATACAGTTTGTCAATGGTAAAAATGGTATTTAACCCTAAATCTTCTAACTTTTAAGTGTCCTGGCTTATCCATCAAATGACTATGATTAATATACACAAAAATGCTGAATCTATGAAGAGTGTTTAATTCATAAAATTAATTTCCAGCATTCAAATTTGTTAAAACATGTAAAATTCCCACTTGGATCATACATGAACCTACCATAATAAGAAGCACTGGTATATTGCCGATGCCCTTATATTCAGAGAGCAATTACAAGTAAGATTATAGAACATATTTATACAGAATAAGATGTTGAGAATATTGCTGTGATATATTCTCCACAAACATTTATTGAATAACCTACTTGAGAAATAAGATTATTGGGTTTAACTGACAAAATTTGGGGCCAAGTGAACCTTAGTTACAATCTAGGTTTCATTATTTGCTTCAGGGAAGTTTCTATTCTACATGCTGTTGTTGTTGTTAAGTGCCATTGAGTCAGTTGTGACCCATAGCGATCCTGTATAGCTGTATAGGGTTTCTGAAGAGTACCTGGTGAGCTTTTCATTTAAAACAAGTTCACAATTTCTACTCTCACAGTGTTGTTAGATGTCATCAAGATGGTTCTGTTTCATAGTGACCCCATGTACAACAGAAGGAAGCACTGCTCAATCCTGTCCCATCCTCACAACTGTTGCTATGTTTGAGTCCATTGTTGCTGCCACTGTGTCAGTCCATCTCATTAGGAATCTTTCCCTTTTTTGTTGACCTTCCACATTAAAAATTATGATGTTCTTCTCTGTGAACCGGTCTTTACTGGCAACATGTTCAAAGCATGAGATCCGTTGCTTGTAAGGAGTAGTCTAGCTGTACTTCTTCCAACACAGATTTGTTTATTCTTCTGGCAGTTCATGGTACTTTCCAGAATCATAATTTAAAGGCATCAATTCTTCTACTCTCTTGCTTATTCATTGTCAAACTTTCACATGTATATGAGGCTATTGAAAATGCAATGGGTTTGGTCAGGCGCACCTTAGTTCTCAAACTAACATCTTTGCTCTTTAAAGAGGCTTTATGCAGCAGATTTGCCTAATAGAATATGTCATTTAATTTCTTGATTACTGTTTTCATGAGTATTGATTGTGGAGCCAAGTAAAATTAATTCTTTGACAATTTCAATCTTTTCTCTATATGACATGATGTTATTTATTGGTTCAGTTGTGAGTATTTTTTGTTTCCTTTATGTTGATGTGCAATCCACACTGAAAGCTGTAATCTTCTATCTTTAGTTGTTGTTGTTAAATGCTGTTGAGTTGACTCTGACCCATAGCAACCCTGTATAGGGTTCCAAGGAGCAGCTGGTGAGCTTGAGTCACTGACCTTGTAGTTCAAATGGCTTTGCAGTCTGGTGCATTAACCCACAACACCACACCAGGATTCCTTAGTAGTTAGTACTTAAAGTCCTCTTCTCTTCCTGTGAACAAAGTTGGGTCATCTGCATATTGCAGGTTGTTAATTAATCTTCCTTAAAACCTGATGTCATAGTATTCTTCATATAATCCAGTTTCTTGGATTATTTGCTCAGCATACAGATTGAATAAGTATGGTAGAAGGATACAACTCTGGTGTATACCTTTGCTGTTTTTAAAACATTCGGTATCACCTGGTTCTATTCAAATAATTTCTTCTTGGTCTAGGAACTGGTTCCTCATGTGTACAATAAATGTTCTGGAATATACATTTTATGCAATATTATCCATAGTTTGTTATGATTCACATAGTCAAATACATTTTCATAGTCAATAAAGTACAAGTAAATATCTTTCTGGTATTCTCTGCTTTCAGTCAAGCTCAATCAGCAACAATGTCCCTCATTACACATCCTCTTCTGAATCTGGATTAAATTTCTGGCAGCTTCTTACTGAATGTACTGTGACAATCATTTTTTCCTTATCTTCAGCACCATTTGACTTGCATGTGACATTAATGATATTGTTCGCTGCATCCCACTGATTCACCTTTCTTGGAATGGGCACAAAAATGGATGTCTTTCAATCAGTTGACCGTATAGTTAACTATCTTCCAAATTGCTTGGCAGATGAGTGAACACTTCCAGTGCTGCATCCGTCTGTTGAAGTATTTCAAGTTGTATTCTTTCAATTC